ATGATTCTCAGCTGCATTGGTGCTTGTTATGAATCTTTCTGAGTAGGTGGAAGAAGAAAGAGAAGGATTCACCTGCTACTTCCAGTTGCCTTTTGCACATGGAATGGGAATACCTCAGGACCCAAATGTTTTGGGCGGGCCCTGAGTTGGGCCACACTTATGAGAAACATATGTATAAATAAATATAGTGAAGTGATCTGCTTCACTCTGATATAAATGTGCTGCCCTAATTCCCAAAAGCAAACTCAAAAGGCTGGCTCCAGAATGACATGAAGTGAAAACAACTGTGATTGCAAATCACAGCCTGCTGACACATTCCATCTCTTTTCTGGCATGTAATTAAAACCTGAAGATGGGGCTGCCAATTACCACAGAAGGAATTAAGGAGGGCTCCCTAAGCTTTTGCTGTAGCCTTTTATTAAGCCATTATCAGCTTCTAGAGCTTTGCTTGTCAACACCGCACTTGGAAATGCGAACACTTCCTTGCTTGGAGATCAGCTGGGGAAGCACAGATGTGAGCAGTCAAGAGCCTGTCAGGTGCAGGAGTCAGTCAAAGACAATATGACAAAGCTGGAGGAATGGCGCTGGAGGCCTGATGCAAACTAAACCTAAGCCAAAGCAAGGAGGTACGCATTACATTCTGAGGTAACTAGCCATTTTCAGCCAGTTGAAAACACTCAAGACAAGCACCAGTTTTGATTAACTTGTCCTTTCTCCTAATTTCAGCAAGCAGATTAGGCTTGTATACCTTGACGACGCTCCCTGAGCGACTTGCCAATGTAACATCTATCCTTGGATTAGATTTATTTTCTATTTATTCAGGACCATTTTACATTGTATTTTTAATTGATTTTTAACTTCTTTGTAAACCACCCAGAGTTGTTTTTTAACGAGAGGGGTGGTGGCAAATTTGATATGTAAACACATATATAAATAAATACACAAACTCTGGAGTTGAGGGGGGATAATATATCCCACAATTAGCCCAGATTTTACTTTACCCAAATATGGACTTCCCTTGGTAGGTATCACTTCTACTTTTTAAAACAGGGGTTATGTGAGTCCGTTTAAATACTTCCGAAACCCAAGAAATGGAGCAAGAGAGGCAATATGAAGGACAGCAAACTACTGGTAGACTATATGCACCCACCCAAATGCAAATAAAGGTATTAGCATAAGAAGGTGTATTTGCTGGGGAAGCAAACACACGAGCACCTAATCTAGGATGCATCAAAAGTCAGGCCCCATAGACAATTTATTATCTAAAGTACATTGGATGTTCAAATTGGTTGCCATTTTCTTCTAAACACTTCCTGACTCATTCGACATGCGACCGTTGAACATTCCTAAGTACGCTAACATTTTCTCTGGAAAAAAAAAAAAAAACATCTTGAGATTGGCCTATGGGGCCTGACTTTTGATACCCCCTTTATATAAACACTACTTTTTAAAGCTATCATTCCATTGCATTATAATTTATTGTGGTCTAAGAGGTTTTTTTTAATTATTCATCACCTTTAGGTTTATAGGGTAATAAGCGTTTCTAGGCAGAGAGCTTAGAGTCCAAACACATGCAAAATGTTGTCCTTCTCCCCAGAGAATTGGGGAGATGACCTTGAAAGAAATAGGCAAGACTCTATATAAGCGAAGAGGACTGAAACGTTCCTCAAGTCCTGGGAAACAAGATATTATTTGGAAGGGGCCCAGCCAGGGGAGATAAAGTTCAGAGTCACTCATTGAGATGGGTGGCCATGTAAATTGGATGGATGGATGGAAGGATGGATGGATGGATGGATGGATGGATGGATGGATGGATGGATGGATGGATGGATG